GCAGCATTCCCTCCCTGAGCTTGGTCTTTGCTGCCTCTTGCTCCTGACCTCCATTGCCCAATATCCCCTGGTCAGCTGGAAAGCCCAAGGAAATGCCTGGATGTGTGTTATCATTTTACCACCCATTCAGGCAGTGACAGGGTTTTGCAGCCTGAACGTGCCAAATGTTCAGAATGGTTGGGGGAGGTTGGTTTGTTTTGGCAAGCCCAACCCAAATCTTTTTTCAGTGTCTGGTGCTTGAGAATGTGTCTGCCTTGGCTGATATTTATGTTCTGGTTGTAGTTTCAGTTGGCTCCAAAATGTCCCGCAGCTGAGTGACAGTGAGGAGAGTGATGACAACCAGGTCAGTTTTCAATGTTGTATCATCTCAACTTGTTGCATTGCTCTGAGTTCCTTGAGCTAACCTTTCCTTCCCCTCTCCTCTTTGTTTTTGTGAACAAAACAGGTTGTTGAAAAGCCACCTTCTCCACTTGCTCCTCCAAGATACAGGTTTGTTCCCAAGCTACTAGCTAGACCAAATTAGGAGAAAAAACTCATTTTTATATGAGGGGGAGATTGGAAAGCATTCTTGGTTTCTCCTTTAGCCACAGGCTTTGGTTCCTGGCTGCCTGAGGGTGCTGTTAAAAATTAGCTTCAGTTCTGTGGGGTTATCCTGAAAGCTCCAGTTAGAAATGTATAATCCAGGCATGCTGCAGTTTGCCTGCAAACCAGAATTGTGATCATATTCTCGTTGTAATGGCAGGAAGGGGTGCAATCTGATAAATGAATGGCTAGGATAGAAAATGTGAAGTTGGTCTGTGGACAAGAGCAGATGAAGCACTTGTGGTTTGTGGAATTGCTGTTGGTTGTGGGACTGTAGCCAGCTTTGTCAGTGCCACGGTCCTATTTCCCTGAAAATGCCCCCATGTGTGTCAACTGCTTTGGTAGGAGTGTAAAAGGATTTGTGTAGGTAATGGGGATAGTGTTTAGATAAGGGAATCCCATTTTTATTCCAGGATTTTACTCCTCTATTATCATGTGAACATAAAAACAAACTGCTTAGGGTTTTTAGAGGTGACCCACAGAGCCATAAATCTCGTTCGCTTGGTTCATAATTTGACGTGAAAGAGTGCCCAATATCTCCAGGTCAGCTGGAAAGCCCAAGGAAATGCCTGGTTGTGTGTTACCATTCTACCACCCATTCAGGCTGTGACAGGCTTTTGCAGCCTGAATGTGCCAAATGTTCAGAAGGGATGGGGGAGGTTGGTTTATTTTAGCAAGCCCAACCCAAATCTTGTTCAGTGTCTGGTGCTTGAGAATGTGTCTGCCTTGGCTGATATTTATGTTCTGGTTGTAGTTTCAGTTGGCTCCCGAATGTCCTGCAGCTGAGTGACAGTGAGGAGAGTGATGACAACCAGGTCAGTTTTCAATGTTGTATCATCTCAACTTGTTGCGTTGCTCTGAGTTCCTTGAGCTAACCTTTCCTTCCCCTCTCCTCTTTGTTTTTGTGAACAAAACAGGTTGTTGAAAAGCCACCTTCTCCACTTGCTCCTCCAAGATACAGGTTTGTTCCCAAACTACTAGTTAGACCAAATTAGGAGAAAAACAAAACTTCGATTGATATGAGAGAGTGGTGGGAAAGTGTCCTTTGCTTTTCCTGTAGCCACAGGCTTTGGTTTCTGGCTGCCTGAGGGTGTTGTTGAAAAATGGCTTCAGCTGTTAAAGGTTTTCCTGAAAGCTACAGTTAGAAATGTAGAATCCAGGCATGCTGGAGTTTGCTTATGAATGAGAACTATGTTAATATGTGTCGAGTGCTTTGGTAGGAGTGTTAAAGAATTTCTGTAGGTAGTGGGGATAATGCTAAGATAAGGGAATCACATTTTTATTCCAGGATATTACTCCTCTATTGTCATGGAATCATAAAATCAAATCACTCAGGGTGTTTAGAGGTGACGCACAGAACTGTAAATCTCGTTCTCTTGGTTCATAATTTGACATGAAAGAGTGTGAAGATTTGTGTAGTTTTCCTAAAAGGCCTCAAGAACATCAGTGTTCCCCTCC